TTATCGTGATACAAATTCCATCAGCTTTTGCTATCCTGACCATTTTGTCTATTCTAGAGCTCTTAGGGTATACCTTGGTAGAGAATGCCTTGTGGGAAACCTTAGCTAGCAAATGGTGCTACTGAAGAGGAGGATTATTCTGGTTTATGATGTATTGGAAATTAGCTCAAAGACCATGGCAACTCTGAAAAGTTCAGTTTTTGTATGCCTACAGAGATTTCACCCCGGTGTAAGCAGTGAAGGATTTCCTGGAAGACCTTTAGATACTGAAATGGCAGGAGGATGTGTAGCTGGTAGGATCAGAAATACTCAGTGTTCTAGTCTGTTGGTAGGGCATTTTTGGTTTTTAGCTTGGGTTTTTTTTCCCCACTTGAAATTGGAATGAAGAAAAAAAAAAAAACAAACAACACTCTTGATGATACTGCTGCAGCCCAAAGCCAGAGGAGCCCTCTCACTTCACTGGTGTGATCAAAACAATCCATGAATTGGTGGCTTCTACTTCAGGCATTGTACCATCATTTCAAGCCTGTCCTTTCTCCTGGGCAAGCTGCTGCTGCCCCATGTTTGGGGTGGCTGTGGCAGGCGGGGAGCTCTGCTGTGCTGGGCAGTGTTGGTTTAGGTCAGTGTTGAATTTCATGTGCTTCCTCCCAGCTTCCTCCCTGTGTAGCCATGGTTCAGCTGCTCAATGCCAGTTGTATGACCATGACAAGGAAATTTGAGTAAAAAGCTATATCCAGGCTCCTTGACAGAGATTCCCAAGTGAAAAACCACTATTAATTCACCACCTAGTGTTCAGGGCAAAGGTTTAGATCACGTCTGTTTTTACTCTAACTTGATTGCTCACCTGTAGTAACCAGCCTGTCTGAGAACAAGAGTGTATGCAAACTCCCCAGGCTATTATTCTGTACTAAAAAAAAAAAGGGGGCTGTGGTATGACTTTAGACTTAATCATCATTTATCCTACCCTGAAGGCATGGAAGTTAATGATGATATAGATCTGTGTGGTTTTGTGTTCCCCTTGACTGAGCATTAGAAATAATTAGGGCTTGTGGGATGGATGCACTGATGGTGGAGATGAGCAAAAAATATTATATATTACCTTCCAAGTTTGCTGGCAAAGACACAGGTGCTAAGTGTGTGCTTATGGGGTCTGAGGTTTCTTGCTTTTTTGTTGAGTTAAAGCTAGCTGGTGCTGATGAGAAAGGAAGTGGGGATAAAGGACTTCTGTTATTTTGGAGCCTTTTAAGATCATGAGCCAATCAGAACTGCTAGTAATTTCTGAAGATTTTTTTTTCTTTTTCAGTATGGTTAGCTCTGCAGTATCCCAAGTGCTCCTGAGTACAGCTCTGGTTTATGCCCATGGAGTAGGCAGTGCTGGGGCAAGACCAGGTGTCACCAGCTGCACAGGAGCTGGCACTAAACCTTTTGATGTTTGGAAGCCTTGCACACGTAGCTGGTGGTGCTCCTGAATTACCTCCTTTGGTGTCCTGAGTGCTTGGTTTACTTGGTTATTAAACAGCCACAGCCGGATGCATGCTGACAGTCATTGCAGATTGAATAGGGAGGAATGGTTCTGTCCCTGTTTTCCTCTGTTCCAGGTATCTGTTTTACCTGATGCTTGCTCATTGATTCTTCCCCATCCTGGCCAAGTATAATTTTATTTTTTTTTAATAAAAATAATTTCAGCAAAATAATGTTCCTATCAGGCTGGAAGGTGGTTGGAAGAGATGGTGCTGAGCCTGTCTGGGCTCATGCAGTGGGACCAGTGTGTGTTCCAGTGACCTCTGGGAAGTGCAGGAGGGGCAGGTTGCCTCAGAGAGCATCCCCAGTGTGCATAGCACCACTGCCACATGGAACTCCTGCACCTGGGCTCTTGGAGGAGACACCCCCCCTTGGAGTGGGGGATGCTGGGGCCCTGTTTTGAGGCTTCACTGGGGTGGGATAGTGACCTGCAAATGGTGCCAGTGAAGGACAGACATACTGGAAGTGTCTGGGGAAGGTGCAGACACCTTGTATCTTGACAGAGCAAGTGATGATTTGTGTTTAGGTACTGGAATTTTGGGGCTTCTCAAAGCAAAACAAGGACATCTCTGTCCTTGGAGGTGGTTTAGATTACTGGCTAAATATATTCATCAGAGCAGATCGATGCAGTGCAGTGGTTCAGATGCTGCACTGGGGAAGCAGCCCTGAGCAGGGTAGGTGAGAGCTGCTTGTGGGGCACTCGGTGTCTGCTGTGCCTTACAGCCCCTCAGAGCTGTCTGAGCTGTGCTGGGAGCCCCTCTGGTCTCCACAGCAGCCCAGACCCAGGGACAGCTTCAAGTCACTTGTCACTTTTGCCTTCCTGGCACATGAGTTTTGAGTTTCTGCATGGTGCCTGTCAAAAGGTGTATTCCATCCTATTTATTTATGCAGAATGCAAGAGGATGCAAGAGGAACTGAGTCTTTTCTAGCTGGGGATTTAGTATTCATTTCTGCTAGCTGACTCACTAGTCAGAAAATTCCCACTGACTTGACTTAGAGTTGAATGGGCTGTATTATCTTTTCATATGCAGAAAATTATTTTGAATTGGAAGTTAATAACAGCAATTTAAAAATTGTCATTGATAGAAAGATAATACAATATTTAGTTGTATCATGTTCTTTTTATGATCTGGTGTTCGAATAAAGCACTTTTTCTGCTTTTTCCTTAATTAGCGTGTCATGAAGAAGCTTGTGACATCAAACACAGCATCTAATTACATTCATTAGTAGCATCTCCAGGACAACTTTTAATTAAGTTGTACAATGTAGATCAATACCTGTTTTGCATCCATTGCAACTTAACGACAGGAATATACTGTTCTGCACAGTTTAATTACAGTGATTGTAATAGAAGGAATTTGGGTAAACCTGCCATTTTAGCAACTTCACTGCTGTCTCTTGCTTTTTAAAATAGTATACAGTTGTAATAGGGGATGTGTTATTTATATGTGTCTTATTTTGAAGAATAATTTGGTGCCATTCTTTTTATCCCAAGAAAATACAATGTAGTTCAGGAGCACTTGGATGGCAGTACTTGGCTTCAGCTGATGCAGGAGAACTTAATGACCTTTTTACCTGGAGACTTCATAAGGGGAAAAACTGGGCATAACTGGGTGACATATCCAGTGGTAGGTGACAGCAGTACTTTTATTTTGCATGGATTCTGGGGCGGAAAGCCACCTGATTCTATGTTTACTTACTGTGAATATAGTCCAGTGTAGTCTTTGAGTACTGCTTCCACCACATGTCCTGTAGTTTGGTAGCACTGACAGCTTCCAACTGTTTCTGCTTTTGGCAGGAAAAAGCAATCCAGAAATGAAAATCCAGAAATGAAAATTAAAATGTGTCTTTTGCTCAACATCACAAAAATATACCAGGCAGAGCATGTATGCCTTGTGACAGTGTCCTGCATTAATACTTGCACACATTATGAAAATATCTGGATAGACAAATCACTTTTAAGATAAACGTTTGCCCAATCTGAGAACTCTGTGTTGTATTTTTTGTGTTTTGGCCTGATTTTTTGTACAAGGGACTACAGCAGTCAGCCTTCAGTGCAGTACAATGATAATGGCCAAATTGATTTAGAGAATTTTGGGGTTTTTCCCAAATTAAATCAGTTGCTTAGCATTCATTTGTTTTTAAATATTCCTTAATATTTTAAAGGAGCAAGCTTTGCAGTGTAGTGTTCTTCTGTATTTTCTTACTGTGACTCTGTACATGGTGTAACCCTGAGGGTTAGTTATGATACATACCTTCCTGAAACTTGTGCATACAACCTGTTTGGATTCTTTTCTGTAGCAATCTTTAAGTACCTACATCGTTGCAATTCTAAGGGAAAGAGCACAAAACCTCAGCACCCATTTCAAGCTTGTTTTTGGTCCAGATAATCATGTGCTAGATAGTCTTGAAAGTCCAATTACCAAAACTTCCAGTGAGCACACATGGTGGAGGTCAAGAACTGAAGACCCAGGGAAGCCACTTCCTTTTCAGGAAGGACATGAGTACAAAAAGTGAGGTCTTATGCAGGCAAATATACTGAGAAAAGTGAGTGTTGTAATCTGATGAAGTGTGCTAGTAAGATAGACAAAATTGAGCTCTGAAATTGAGATTTTGGATGATTCCGAGACAATCTTCTGCCTAGAAGATTTAGAGCCCTGGGTGCAAGAGGTGAAAGCTCAGCACCAGAAGCTGCTACTGTTTTTCTTAGCTGAGTTAAGTTTGTGTGCATTTAGGCACTTCTCACTTTTTACAAAGTATTTCAGGTAATAAGAGAAGAAAAAAATGTTACAAACTTGTTAATAGGGTTTTTTTTGCTGTTTAATGTAAATTGTTGGTTGCTTGTATGACTTGAAACTATTCATGAATTTTGTATGTAGAAGAAAAAAGAGCCACTGCATAGCTTATAATGAAGATGTCAAAAACTTGAAGGAAAATATGAAAGAGGAAGAAAATGATAGATTGCTGATGAGATTAAGGCTTGCACATATAATACTTCAAAAATTAAATTCTTGATTCATTTTCATCTTAAGGGCTTGATAATGCCAAAAAACACATGCTACCTTAGAAGAAATGTGTATATAAACGTGCATAGATGTTTGTGTATATTTGTACCTGCCTATGTACTGTATGTCTTACATATACACATAAACACACAGTGTGTGCATCATGTACTTATTCCCCCAGAAGATCAAAGTTCTAAGAACATGCAGGATCTGGCTTTTGCAGAAGTTCAGTGCATTTGCAACTTGGTTTCTGTGGCAGATCTCAAAGGAATAAGCTAATGGATAGATAGAATAGTTTTCATTGTATGACCTCATTGTTAGAGGAGTTATTGCATTGTTATTTTGCTTTACAGAAATCCAACTTCCTCGGTTAATTATAAACAATTTGTTCACCAGGGCATCCATACCTTGAAATATCTGCTGAAATTTGTATTCTGTCTGTGTTCTTTAACAGTTTTTCTCTTTTATTTTCAGTGAATTTACTGGACTCACGTACAGTAATGGGGGATCTAGGATGGATTGCCTACCCAAAAAATGGGGTAAGTCTCTGCTGTTGTTTGCTTTCTCTCTCACAGATTATAATAATTGTTTCCATTTGGAAAGTAGACTACTGGGTTTAAAAACTCTCTAGAGTGATTTGTCGGCAATGGAGGGAAAAAAATAAAACAACAAGCTATGACTGAAGAAATGGAGCTGTATAGGGGATTGATTTATTTATGCAGCTGAGCCAGCCACAAGTATTAAAAAAATAATCATGAGTCAGCCTCCTCACTCCTCCCCCCTCACCAAGAAAATCCATGAGGTTATTTAAATTTCTTTTAAATTATAAATTATTGGGGGTTTTTTTGAGCCTTTGTGGTAAATGTGGAAAACAATTTTTTGGAAGTTAGCTTCTGAAGAGCAAGATCTGGAAGATGGCTGTTGGCTTTAAATGAACAAGGCTGTTCACAAATACATCTCAGGTTCATGGTAAATTTCTGGGATCTGATAACATTGAAACATGAGCTGAGTTCTAAGCATCTTGAAGAGCCTCTGTCCCTTACCATTACCTATATTAAGAACTGTTCAGTCTCAAGAAGAGACAACTGAAACAGCAATGTCTGTGAGTGAAGGGAGGGCGCCAAGAGGATGGATCCAGGCTCTGCTCAGTGGTGCCAAGCAAGAGGCAAAGGGCAGAAACTAATGCACAGGAAGCTTCACCTGAACATGAGGAAGAACTTGGTTATTGTGTGGGTAGCAGATTGCCCAGAGAGGTTGTGGAGTCTCTCCCTCACTGAAGATACTCAAGAACCCTCTGAACACAATCCTGTGCCATGTGCTCTGGGGTGCCTCTGCTTGAGTAGGGAGGTGGGACCAGATGACCACTGTGGTCCTTTCTAACCTGACCCATTTGTGTGATTCTGTAGCTGAAAGAACCTGGCCTCCTAATTTTATACTTGAAGTAAATGGAGGAGTTTAGATGCATTAATACCCTCCAGTGTATCTGCTTGAGCTGACTGCATCACGCGAGCAGTCTTGGCTGTGATTTTTGGTCTTTGGTCTGGGGCATCCGCAGTGCTGTACTGTGACAGAGATTTGGTGCAGTCTTGAGAGGTTATTTTCTGTACCATGCTGAGTATTCCTGTCAGTTCCTGAAAGCCATGAGCACTGTGTGAGGTGAGAAAGCATCCTAAGTTAGAAATGCTGCATGACTGAGCCCTCCAACAGAGCAAGTCTCAGGAATGTGTTATTCCAGAGTTTTAGTCACCAGATGAAACAGACTGCATAATTGTCTTGGACTCCAGTTGGATTGTTATATAGATGGTGTTTATATAAAATTCAGCCAACCTTGCAAAAAAAAATATATATTGGACAGTAAATTGAAGTCTGGCTTTCCATGTATGCTGTGTGGATGAAAGGTTGTGGAAATGGCAGCCTCACTTGGACAAGCTGCATGTTTACAGGCACTGGTTACAGCAGGGATGTGAAAGCTACACAGGGATCTAATTTATTTTCAATTCATTCCAAGATCTAATCCTGTTAGGGTTAGTCTCTAAACTTTTATTTTTTTTAATCTATTGATTTAAAGCTGAGAATGAAACTTACTCTGCTTGCTTGTGTGGGCATCAGAATAGCCAGTGCCAGATATACTGGCAGAGCAATATTTTGGTGCCATGCTGCACCATAAAAGATCCAAATATCCAGTTATTAGATTGTTTTATTCGTTTTTTTAACTTTTGAACGCATCTGGTATTTTTCCTGTGGTATAAAGCCCAGTTCTCGTCTATCCCAATGCCCCTAAAAGAATATCAATAGAAAAACAGGCTGAGAAGTTCATACTACTTCTGAGTCTATATGTATAGATGAGTAAATCAAAAGCTAACTATCTTATACATAAGCCACAGTTGTATCTTTTCATTATTTAGGGAAACCTTTCTATATTTACAAGCTCAGTTTCCAAAGAGCACACTGAAGTATGCTCAGGAATGCCAAATTAAAGGTTACTGACTCAATAGGGAGAGGTTTTTTTTCCCTTAATTAACTTCTGCTTTGTGTTTAAAAGTGAATTAGGCAGTTGGTTTTCAAATTTCCAGAAATCTCATCTTAATCTTCTTTGTTTTCATGGGACATTATAAAAATCCAGGAGGTTAGTCCAACTGTCTTTTTTTTTTTTTTTACTAATATATTTGCAGTATTTTATGAGCACTAAAAAAGGTCTTCCCAGAGGTACTTCTCTAACTGCTCTATCTGCTCTGCAATCAGCTACGGTGCAGTTACACACTCTTTGCTTAATTTTTTTTTTACAGGATCTACCTAATATAAGTATTTAAAGTCACTCTTGCATCAAGATTTGAATTTGGAAAAGGAGGGAGCTTTAACTGACATCTGATATAGGCATTCTCATGTGTTTTGGGGCATTTTTATACAAATTTGTTATCTCAGGATGTTCTCCTAGAGAAAATTTTCAAGGTCCTTGTATCTGTCTTCACAGTCCCCCATGAAGGAAAGGAGCAAGAATGTCAGGATGTGTCACACTTTGCAACGCCAGAGTGTGTGGATACCAACCTCGTTCTGAAGTGAGCTTTGTGGTGCATGGTGTTTTACTATTGCTGCAAACAATATCCTGTGGAGTGCAGTCACTTTTCAACAGTGGTGCAGTTCCAGCTGAAGATACATTGGTTCTCTTCCAGTGTTGCTGCTTCTCCACTTGATTTTTATTATAATCTTAATGGAACTGTAATACTTTTCTTAGAACTGTAAGTGCTAGAAGTAGGAGATTGTAGCGGGGCACAGTTGCTCTTAAAGAAAGCAGGTGTTTGGTCTTTGGCATTGTATGGGAGTTCTTGGGAGAAATTATGTTCGTATCACAAAGGCTCAAGCTGGTAGGTTTTGAAAACAGATTTCCACATGTAAAACAAACAAACAAAATCCCACAAAAAGCCCCTACTGAGACAATCGGGATAAGAGGTCCAGGCAAGCCAAATGAACTTTCTTTTGGCAGAACCTTTGTAGATATCATAGTCTAAACTTCTATTACAGCTGTGTGCCATGTTATTTTTTGTATATTGAATGTTTAGAACATTTCATGCTCCAGAAATGTCCAGTTGCCCTTGTTTAGTCTCTTGTTCTCCTCATTTTTGCTGAACACAATGGGAAAATGTGATCTAACATGGGACATGAAAGCAGCATTGTATGGGAAGGAGGCTGACTCTCCAGCCTGGAAACAGATCAGGAATAAAGGTAGGCCTGTTTTGAGCTCTCATCTCAAATGAAGAAGCACTGCAGCAGCTTAAGTCCCCACAAGATCAGACCTTGATCTACTGCTGAACAGTGTGTGCTGGCTCATCTTGTGAGAAGTGGGTTCTGTGGGAAGGGAGATGAGCACTTCAGCCAAGGCTGTCCCCTGAAGTGCTGTGTATGGCAAGGCACTTATTTGGTGCTGGCTTGGGTGGTGGCCATTGTCCTTGCAGCCTGGTTGGCCTTCATACTCCTCATGCACAGAGAAGGTAGGAAAAATCCCCCTCTTCCTTCATATGGAGTACTGAGGGATGCATAGGAATGAGATGACTGAAATATGCAATGGCCAAGTTGGGCTTTGAAAGAATGCCTCCTGGTGTGAAGAACCAGTTGTTGAGTAGGAGAAAGGGCTTGCTTATTTCTTCTGCTTTTCCCCAAAACATAAGAAAATTGCAGTAGTGTGGCTTCCTGGCTTCCCTGTGTGGGTTCAGCAGCCTGCAGCAGTTGTGCAGTCAGCTCTTAAATCTGCATTTCGTCTGCTAAAGCATGAGCAAAGTTCTTGCGAGATCCTCATGTCCATGGAGCTCAGAAAAGGGACTCTCTCCCTGACAAAAGAACATGGTCAGCATGGAAAATGTTGTCCTTTTTGTACTCAAGCTAGGAATCGATCATGTCGTTACATGCCAAAGGGACAATTTTGACTGGGTTTTTTTTGCAGCTCTTGTAAGTTTGTTTTAACTTGAAGGAGGTTACTGCAGTTACCAGAGGCTGTATCAGGAAAGTCTGGTCCCTTTTGTGCAGTAGGAAGCCTTCCAAGCATACGGACAAAACCAGTCAGGTTTTCTATTAAAGGCTCATAGAGCAGGTCTGCAAAATCTTTTACCTCTGGACTGATTGCTGGGGCAGTGCTTAGGATTGCCCAGAGTGGGCACATCACAGGTTTGTGTGTGCAGTGCACGTGGCTGTGACACTGGGCAGCTCTGACCTGTGGGAAGTGCCTGTACTCTCTGTGCTAAACATACATTTTTATCATATGGAAGCTCACAGTGGTAGGAACAAGAGTCAGTGCTGTGACAGAAAGAGTCAGGTGAGGTCAGACAGTGTTTGTGGGCTGTCTTGCATCCTCTTCCTCTCTTGGCTGGACAGGAGGCTGTGTCATGCATTTCAACTTGCTGCAAAGCCATAGCAGGGGCTACAGAGCACCCTGCAAACCCATGCTGTGCAGTTTTACTTGGTCTGGCCAAGTGAAAACAAAGTTGCTGATTAAAATAATTTTTATTTTTAGCTGGTTTGATTTATTCAGCAATTATGTCTGATTTTTGTTCCAGTGGCTCTTAATAGGGCTGATTTACTTGTTTGATCCTCCCTCCTTTCACTGTTACTTTAAAACTTCTTTATTTACAGATTACAAGTACTCTTTTTCTGTCCAAAACAGGAATGCTGCACACCTGCTTTGCTTTGCATAAAGGGTTCTCTTCCATCTGATCCACCTCGCATTGATGTCCCTGAACTTCCTGCAGCAGAGAACAGCAAAGTCTCTCTGGTCCTTGGGGTATTGGTTCTGTGCTGTGGCTCATTGCACAGCTCATGTGATGGCTTTTTTTTCTTTAGGCTCAAACTGGAAAATAAATATGTACTGAAGAACCTGGTCCTGAGGAGATGTTAATTTTCTGCAATGAATAAAGAGTTGTGAAGGAGCTAGATGATTTCTTGCATGTGGACAGCAAGAAGGAAAGCAATTGCTCCTCCTTTGGGGGGTCAGTAAGGCCAAATACTGAAAGTGGGGTGAATTGAGCTGGACTGATTGTACAAGTTGTTTCCA